GAAGAAAAATACGTTGCTGAAGACTAGAAGAGCGATTCGCTTGGCGAGTTTGGATTCCCTTTGTATTCCCGCATCTTGAGCAGCTTTCTTGACTGTGAAATAAATATGAACGTAAAACCCAAAACTGATGGCATATAATATCAAAGCTGTTACACCGACGGACAGCGTGAAAGCAAAAATGTTAGTGTGAACGAAATTAGAACGAATTGGTATACACAGGAATGTGAACCTATAAAAATTATAATATAGTGCAATCACTGTCAAGAAAACTGCGAGAAGCCAGCAAATTATGATCAAAATGGCAGCCAAACGAAGTGTAATCCGCACTTCTGGTTGCAAACTGTAGACTATAGCTAGATATCTTTCTAGGGTTACATAGAATGAGGTGACGACTGCACTTGCTTGGCCTAGCATCCAAAACATGCCTATTTTCCAGCAGTGGAGATTGCTATCGCTATATGATTTAGGAAACGAAAAATTATTCAAATAAGCAGTGATTGCGATGGTATAGAGTCCCATCAGAAAATCACTGAATGCCATGTTACACACAAACAGCATGCAGACGTTCTTACGAAGACGCCTGGAGGTGATGATGTTCAAAAATGCTACAAAATTTAAAACGAMCGACAGYCCACCCAAAAATGATTGACAATTCATCGCAACGAGAATCGCATCCCAGCATATATTGACCGAGCTCACGAAGGCGAAGTAATGGTGACGTACACAGAGATTTTGATTCTTGCATCGAAATTGGAACTGTGTATCATTCAACAGTTGAAATAATGGCGACGTCACATCGACGCCCGTTTTAAACACATTACAGAGCCTTAAAATAAAATAGCTTTTCATTTGAGTTTTGTTATGACTTCTGAAAAACAAACAATTGACACATTCATCTGACCAGGTTAAGCCTATGATACTTTGGAGCATGCGCAGATGAAGAAAGTTCTTCTCTGGTTTCCAGTGCTCTATTCCTGTAGCGTCGAGGGTTGACAGCGAATGAAATAAGCCTGGCAACTTGCCAGTAAAAGATCGAAGTGGATTCATGGAGAGATTCCTGGTGATAAAAAGCTAAAGTTCAAACTTCAACACGAACAAGAACAGTGCAAGTGTGTGGCTTGTGGGCATGCGCAAGGTAAAGATCCCATAATAGAAATGATTGGTGCTCGGTACTTACAGAGTGGTGAGGTTGTCAAGACCATAGAATGCTTGGTATGTCAAAACCTGGAAATCGTTGAATGCGAAGGACCTAAAAATAAATAATCATTGTCAAGATCATAGAATGCTTGGTATGTCAAAAGGAAAACCCTTAGAGGGACAAGAACATGAATAGCCAGTTTAACAAAATCGTCCCAGCTTCATCTCAGTGATTTTTAATCGACGGAATTTTCAGATTGGCCGTAATGTTTTTTTTCTTCATTTTTTCTTAACACTCATTTAAGTTGCTTCCGTGAAACTATTTTTTTTTACATAGGTTTTCCCCCGAAGATACTACTAATGTGGGCGCAAAGTCCAACAGAGAGTGCTATTATCTAGAAAATGACAGGAGGTCTGAAATGGAAAAAGTATTGGTACTAACTTGAATTGGTACTGTTCTACTCAAGTGTGTTTTCCGGTTGATTTTGACCTACTTCGACTAATAGTTCTCGACTTACAAGTATTTTATTCCTCTGAACAAAGACAGTGCTCCTTCTGTGATATTCTTTAGGCTGTTAGAGGATAGATCTCTAAGGAAAGAAAGTAGAATAAGAAATATTGATAACGTAAGAGTGCTTCGAAAGGATACAGCTTAATTTCGTACGCTGTGCAAAACCATTAAAGTAGTTTTTTTCAGTTGCAATGCCATCTGAATGAATTTTTAAAATTAATTTTTTTTAGCAGGTATAGCAAAAGTACAGTATCTATGACACACAATGTTCAATAAGAGGGCTCAGTTTAAATCCTTTTCGAAAAGAAAAAACCTTGGCAGTGATGTTTAATAAAAAATAAAATATAATCTTAATAATTTCTTCGTCGACTGCATAAGCACAAGAATTACTACATTTTTCCATATTCTGCGAATTCGGTAAATGCAAGCTGCGGGCTGAAATTTGTTTTCCGCAGCCTTCAATCAAAAATAATCTGTCGGTATCTTTATGTTCTTGACTGGGGCAGGAAAAAACAAGCCGTTGGAATGTCTGAGTTCGCAGAATATGTAAAATCACAGTTACTGAGAGAYAGGGATGTCTATGACTTACAGTGCGATGACTTGGTTCTTTGATGCGATCAATTCATGCAGCTCACAGATTCTCCTAACACGACACTGTACGATGGTCATCGATCCTCGACAGAATCCATTCTCACTCGCAGAACACGTAGAATCGA